AAACGATACGGAATGGTCAAAAATTTAATAAAACGTCTGTCCAGATCCAAAATCACTTGAATCTTGAAAGTTATAAATGCAAGTTTGAACACTAGAAGGACATAATAATTAATTAGGTATATAATATATTCACGTGGCTTTAAATTTGGAGCACTATATTACCTACTCTTGGTTCGATAAAGGTTAGAGGGCATTCTAATTCCATGATTAGATAGAGGTAGGTACATAAAAGTTTACTCCTTAATCCTTTGCGTTTGCGTACTCAAATTTTACTTATTTTTACATCAAATATAGTTTTATGTGACACTCAATAGAGCCCGAAAGGGACGAGCCTTTGTCGGAAGTTCAAATAGAAATATCTTTATTAGTTCGTTTTCTAAAATCTGAAATATCCATTTAAATAGCTTTCGAAGTCGGAACAAAAAAATTTATATAGCATTAATGATCAAGTCATCCCTCACCTTTCGAGTTGCGCCTAATTCAATACGCACTGTCAGCACCGCGGTACACCATCGTTTCGTGAAGTATCATCTTATCAATGCAGACTTCAACCGCTGGGATGCTATCCTCCAGTTCGCTCCATTCCACATATACCCCTATCACTTGCTACCGGGAAGGATGTACATAGATACGTTCTTCAGATATGAAAAACAGAAATGTGGAAAAGAGAGCTAAGAAGGATCTAGCAGCAAACTACACGTGCAAAAGGACTTTTGGAAATCAATGAGCACTGTCGTCAATGCGCCTTACCTACGATACGTACGCATCAGTCATCAGACTGATTGTAACCCATGGGATCTTAGTTTAATGAAAAGCTCCCGACAAAGAAAATAATAGCACATCGACATATCGGCAGCTGCGTAGCTCTGTCCATGATACGGCCTCTAGAAGTGNGTGCGTTTCGTTGCAGTGAGGTCGAAAAACAACTGCGGCGCAACAGTTTGACATGGGAATGTATGCGACTGCTGGGTAGGTATGCAAAACGATGGAGGAGAACTTTAACAAGCAAAATAAAAGAAATATAAGGAAAAAAGTCTTACCTACAGATAGCGATCACAAACACATGACTTTACACTTGTTGCATTGTTGAAGGCGCGCTTATAGAGTTGTAGCAGGCAAACTGCACGGACACTGTTGCTGCCGCTGAAGCGACGAGAAAGATTAATTTTCATTGTTAATTGGTGCAATTAATTATTTACAAGTCATCGTTTGGACAGCAGCGATTAAAGTCGACCAAGGAGCCTGACAACTTGGCCTATCGGCGGTACACGGCTTAGCTGTGAACGTTTAGGGGAATGGACATGCATTTATTTACATAACTACAACGACTGAATGACTTCATTTCGAGCAGACCTGTTAAAGACGTTTGAGAAAAACCATAATAACTTTACTAGCCTACAGCAAAATATAACTATACATAGATACAAGATATTGTTTACTATGCATAGTGCGACCCCAACTGGTTGCCACCCTATTGGTGGCATCCCCACATCCATATTATTATCCTGTATGGACTGCACGCCCAAGGAAACATCGACGGCTTGGCGCCGCAGATTACGCGGATAACTCAGTTGCCAATACTGTTGGCTTGTGGAAAGGAATGACAACGCTGGCCGACGGTAATTTAGAAAGGATCTTAATGTGTCGATATCTATTTTGGAGATAAGTTTGCGAAATACGATATCAGAAAAAAGATATGGAATGGTCAAAAATTTAATAAAACGTCTGTCCAGATCCAAAATCACTTGAATCTTAAAAGTTATAAATGCAAGTTTGAACACTAGAAGGATATAATATTTAATTAGGTATATAATATATTCACGTGGCTTTAAATTTGGAGCACTATATTACCTACTCTTGGTTCAATAAAGGTTAAAAGACATTCTAATTCAATGATTAGATAAAGGTAGGTGTATAAAAGTTTAGTTCTTAATCCGTTGCATTTGCGTACTCAAATTTATCTTATTTTTACATCAAATATAGTTTTATGTGACACTGTATAGAGCCCGAAAGGGACGAGCCCTGGCCGGAAGTTCAAATAGAAATATCTTTATTAGTTCGTTTTCTAAAATCTGAAATAACAAATTAAAAAACTTTCGAACTCAGAACAAGAAAATTGATATAGCATTAATGATCAAGTCATCCCTCACCTTTCGAGTTGCGCCTAATTCAGTACGCACTGTCAGCAGCGCGGTACACCATCGTTCCGTGAAGTATCATCTTATCAATGCAGACTTCAACCGCTGGGATACTATCCTCCAGTTCGCAGCATTCCACATATACCCCTATCACTTGCTGCGGGGAAAGATGTACATAGATACGTTCTTCAGATATGAAAACCATATGACAGCATTTAACATAAGCGCGGAACAGAAATGTGGAGAAGAGAGCTAAGAAGGATTTAGCACCATACTTCACGTGCGAAAGGACTTTTGGAAAGCAATGAGCACTGTCAATGCGCCTTACCTACGATACGTACACAACAGTCATCAGACTGATTGTAACCCATGGGCCCTTAGTTTAATGAAAAGCTCCCGACAAAGAAAATAATGGCACATCGACATATCGGCAGCTCGTAGCTTTGTCAAAAAGTGCCCTCAGACTCACTCAGAAAGCCAGTACGTGACAACAAACCAATGTCGGCATTGCATTAATATTATATGAAATAAAAAGAGGCCGGCTTAATGAAATTAAAGCTGATATAGAATCACGGTTGTGTACGGGTGCTTTTGGTGGCCGACAGGTCCCGATGCTCCCAAGTGGCATAAGTTCGCCATTAAAATCCGTCGAATAGTCGGTTTGCTGTGCGTACCGCAGTTTTCCTCCCATCAGTAATGAGGAGAAGAACGAGATTATAAAAAATGAGCTTACGAAGAGAAGCTTACGCGCTAGACGCTTTAATAGGCCTCACCTAATTTTCACCATTCCGAAAAGTTGGTTTGAAATGCACAATTTTTGGCAAAGAAGAAAGCTGAAGTTCTAGTGAAATCTACTCGCTTGGGCTTCTTTGTATTGGCGGTATCCCGTTTTCGTCTTTCGACAAGTTTATCGTCTGTGCGAAAAAAGTTCCTTTTAATAAACTATGAATGGCATCGATTGGCAATTAAAACTCAATACAAATTTATACCAAAGCGGTGAGAAAGTGTATGAAATTCCTGATTGTTTATAATTATTTTATTTTTTATTTTCGATAAGAATATTTCCATCTATGAACGGTGCGGAAAACAGCGGCGCAAACCGAAGGGGAGTGTTTTAGTTTCGAAAAAAATATATATTCCGACGAAGTTTGTATACATATGATTCTTTAAAATGTCACTACTTTTTTAAAATAATTCCGAAAACTTTTCTTAATTAAAATTTCTTATATAAAATTTGATGTACATTTCCGTAAAAGTTTGAAAGCTGTCGATCTTGTCGACGCCTTTGCCAGTTAAGAGGAACACAATAATTTGTTCAGCGATCGCTTTGATAAAGTTATACTATACAATTTATTGCTCTGCAATGTGTTTGTTTCAAATTAGTTAATAAAACTCACACATGACGTTTATGAAATTTGTGTATACTAACGGGTGATTTTTTAAGAGCTTGATAACTTTTTTTTTAAAAAAAACGCATAAAATTTGCAAAATCTCATCGGTTCTTTATTTGAAACGTTAGATTGGTCCATGACATTTACTTTTTGAAGATAATTTCATTTAAATGTTGACCGCGGCTGCGTCTTAGGTGGTCCATTCGGAAAGTCCAATTTTGGGCAACTTTTTCGAGCATTTCGGCCGGAATAGCCCGAATTTCTTCGGAAATGTTGTCTTCCAAAGCTGGAATAGTTGCTGGCTTATTTCTGTAGACTTTAGACTTGACGTAGCCCCACAAAAAATAGTCTAAAGGCGTCAAATCGCATGATCTTGGTGGCCAACTTACCGGTCCATTTCTTGAGATGAATTGTTCTCCGAAGTTTTCCCTCAAAATGGCCATAGAATCGCGAGCTGTGTGGCATGTAGCGCCATCTTGTTGAAACCACATGTCAACCAAGTTCAGTTCTTCCATTTTTGGCAACAAAAAGTTTGTTAGCATCGAACGATAGCGATCGCCATTCACCGTAACGTTGCGTCCAACAGCATCTTTGAAAAAATACGGTCCAATGATTCCACCAGCGTACAAACCACACCAAACAGTGCATTTTTCGGGATGCATGGGCAGTTCTTGAACGGCTTCTGGTTGCTCTTCACTCCAAATGCGGCAATTTTGCTTATTTACGAAGCCATTCAACCAGAAATGAGCCTCATCGCTGAACAAAATTTGTCGATAAAAAAGCGGATTTTCTGCCAACTTTTCTAGGGCCCATTCACTGAAAATTCGACGTTGTGGCAGATCGTTCGGCTTCAGTTCTTGCACGAGCTGTATTTTATACGGTTTTACACCAAGATCTTTGCGTAAAATCTTCCATGTGGTCGAATAACACAAACCCAATTGCTGCGAACGGCGACGAATCG